TAAATGTATTATATTCCCCTTTACATAATAATTATATATATTTGTGACCAAGATTAATAAAATATGTTTTGATCTTTCTAAATGATCTTTCAAAAGGTTTAATAATAGGACGTTTGTAATATTTTTGGCGTGATCGTCTTAGATAGGACCCTTATTTACTTTGTGTTTGTTTAGTAACTTAGTTCTATAAGGTGTCTTTTGGAAGAATGAATATTCGCTAGAGCAATTGAAAGCTGTTGGTAGTGCCTTATAAGCTAAGTGAACCTCGTTCACGAAGACAGGGCTCGAGAAAGGTTTAGAACATAAAACGTCCCTATTCCACTTGTATCAGGTTTACATTATTAATTTATTATTATTTATCCCTTCCCGCTCGGAAAAGGCTCAAAATATATTTATACAAAATACCCGATACAAGGGCTTGAGGCACACGGCCCCACACACGCCGTGCACGGTGAGTGCCAACCATTTTGATGCACTCCCCTCGAAGGGAACGCTAATTCGGGAACTGGACCGTAGTCCACAGCAAAATAACTGGGGAACCAGTAAAAGAGGCTTGGCCCCTTGTTAGTGCGTAAGCACAAACATCGACCGAAGTCGCGCATGTCAATGCGTGTAAACGCCATACAGAATACGAACGAATCCAGCCACAGTGAATGTACGTCACACAGTTTAGGCAAATAGGCACACTGGCCGTAAACCCTCCGTGAGCGCCACCACCTGCCAGACCGCCGCTCCTGCAGACGTGATCTAAGTGTATGACATCACCACCAATTGCATGATCAGCACGGCTACTAGCTGCAGAGCGTGTCATGAGTCTACCGATCACCTCAAAGGAATGGGGTCTCAAGTTGTGCGGCTTTCGGCCGCAGCCTTGAGAGTCTCCTCAGATCCTCCCGCCAGCTACCACCCGCATGAGGTCGACACATATGCTCCACCAACCAATACAACGGCAGATATAGCCAAAAGGCAGTTATAAGATAAGAGTAATAATTCTCCATCAGAAAGGGTTTGTGTCACTGACGTTGAGTAAATGCATTTTCGATCATGTTTGTCTCACCCACGATCAAATACAAAGTTGCCTTCAATCATTCAAAGGTGGGAAAGTTACAGAGATATAATATTATGTTGTTATATAAAACATCGTGGAGGGCAGACAGTCTGCAGCCCCGTAATGAAGGGACCCGACTTGGGCAAAGCTACTTAGATGTGAGTCAAACCAAGACGCAGAGAGCGCCATTAAGAATAGCGTCCCACCAAACAACCATCGCAAAGACGCAACGCTGCAGAACGCAACAAGCATCAATACGACTATCGTCGGGCTTACACCATCCCAAGGTCCCCCAAACATCCCAGCAGACATCACCACCTGCATACCTCCATCGACCTGAACCACAAGAGTGCGTCGAATCAGGCGTAGCACACCCGCAGATCCATCACAAGACGCAATTCCGCAAGTAGCAGTAAGCATCAATGCAACTATCATACGGATGGCCCCCCCTCACAACACACCCACATGACCCCTATCGATTTTGGTAACAAAGTTTTTAATGTTGTTATATAAAAAATATCACCAACGTATCATAGTAGCACGCTACTAAGACGCCAATGAACAGAACTCCACGTATCATAGCGCTAATGCAATAGGACATGAAGTTGAGTATGCCTGTTACACTTAAAAGTGCTACCAAACACACTCATCATCCCAATCCGAAATATAGATGACGCATCGCTATGCGCTACTACGTCGCCCACAAACGCTATGGGTGTGCGATGTCCACGGGAAAGCCGTATTGCTACAACAAACCCGCTTACCACCGGCACTAAGATGATATGTCTAGGACACATCGGTTAGCGAGTCCAAGTTTACCTCGGACCAATTGCTCGTGAAGCAGCATACACGCCACCATAATATTCCTTTTCAAGTCCCTAATAAGGACTAGTCATTTTGCTACAGTACTAGGAGCAGTCGGTCACCCGACCACCCCATACGATGCTTATGCATCAAGGAGACCTTCAATAATAATGCTTTTGTATCATAGACCTTACTTCCATAAGTCATTCATATATAGGGTTCGAACCCACAACCCTACTATTGTAATGCATATTTATCATAGAGACCTTCTATAGTATTGCTTTTGTATCATAGACCTTACTTTCATAAGTCATTAATATATAGGGTTCGAACCCACGACCCTACTATTGTAATGCATATTCATCATAGAGACCTTCTATAGTTTGCTTTTGTATCATTGATTTTATTATCATAAGTCCCTAATATAGGACTAGTCATTGTGCTACAGTACAGTTGTTGTTATATACTTCAGGCAGTCGGGCTCCCGACCACCCCATATATATGTACAACTGCAGGTATGTATCTCCGACAGCTCCTCCATACAAGACATCTATACATGAACACCTTCCATAACTTAGGAAAATTTTCTTTTATACGTGAACTCCTTCCACAACTTAGGAAAATTTTCTTTTATACATGAACTCCTCCCAAGACTTAGACAATTTTTAACAAATTTTCTAATTATCTTATAAATGTTATGTAAATGTTTTATTTTTATAATATTTTCGACTTGTATTTCTATTATTTATCTTATTTTAAATATTTTTTTCAAGTTTTTAATAAATTTATTTATTATGGAAGACAATATTTTGCCTTTAATTTACTATGTTATTGGTCTAATGTCTGATTATTGTTTAATATATATCTTTTAAGACTATTTTTGATGCCCCTTTATATTGAATTTAATTATTAATAATAATATTGGGCCGTCACAAAGACCATGGGACAACATGGTAAGTATACTATTTCTAACAATGCATATAAAATTTGAGATTTTTCCTTAATTTTCCTGGCATCCAATCATCAGATTAGAACAGGAGAGCCGTGGTAGCTCAGATGGTACTTTTCATCATCAGTTCAGCAACATAAGATGATATATAATGATTACGAGACAATTTGCCTATGTCTGCCTATAAAATTTGGAGAGTTCCCATCATCAAATCCTTACCTGATGACCATGGGACAACATGGTAAGTATACTATTTCTAACAATGCTTATAAAATTTGAGATTTTAGATCCCCGCTGGCATGAAATTGTTAATTGCAATTTTCAGTTCTGATTTACCACATCCTTGGCGGTGAAGGAAAACATCGTGAGGAAACCTGCATGTCTGAGAAATAAGAAAAAAATGATTTCGAAGACACGTGAAGTTCGCTAACATGCATTGGGGCAGCGCGGCGGATTCCTTGCCCTAAAACCCTCTCAGAAATGAGAGGAGGCCTGTGCCCAGGAGTGGGTCGTATATAAGCTGTAACTTTAACCATCAGATCATGACTTATACCTTCTATCGTCAGCTTAGAAATATGAGATGATGATTACCGGACACAAATATCTTAGTAACGTTAGAGAGGCTATAAAATTTAAGGGCTGCTAAGTATTTCTCTGTGATCCCATTATCAGATTCTGACTGCGTGACAATGAGACCACCTCAGAATCATAGTTTTTTAAATAAAAAAGAGTTTTGAAATCGGTCCACGATTGGCGAAGATATCGGTGAACATACATAAATAAATACATACAGTTTAACATATAAGCTGGTCGTTTTTTGAAGTCGGTTAAAAAGGGTATTAAGTTTAAAGATGAATATAATTTACATAATATACTTATTCTAGAGCTTCATTGCTTTTCCAGAAACTTATTGATTGTTTTTTTTGACCTTTATTGCATAAAAAATTTTATTTAATTCTATTTCCAGACCCACGCACGATATTAACATATTCTTCGACTTCAATATAAATAAAATAAGAACGTCATCAATATATTCGAAGTCAAATAAATACGCATTATTTAATGATAACTCAAAAATGACTGCACATATATTGATCAAATATTTTATGGGCCCACACGAAAAGCACCAGCTTTATAAATCAATCAAAGAATCATCAAAATCGGTCGATATGAGATAACACACATAAAAAACATACAGTCGAATTGAGTACCTGCTCCCTTTTGAAGTCGGTTGAAAAAGTACTTTTAAATTAGTATTGACAACCTTTGTTCCATTAAAATGGTTTAATTTTATTCTATTTTACACTAAGACACGGATGGATATGTCCGCACCAATATATCATAAAAGCCAATTACTATCAGGTGTAACTAACATATGTTAAAAAAGGCAAGTAAATTATTATTAAAAATAAAAAACGGACTACAATAATTTTTGGCTACATATGATCACAAGGAAACAGATGAACATACATTTTAAAACATATACATGCCTGTAAAAAAAGTAAAGTAACAGCCTATATACGTCCCACTGCTGGGCACAGGCCTCCCCTCATTTCTGAGAGGGTTTTAGGGAAAGGAAGTGTCCGCCGCTCTGCCCCAATGCGTGTTGGCGAACTCCCCATTCTTTGAAATATTTATTTTTCTTATTGCTCAGACATGCAGGTTTCCTCACGATATTTTCCTTCACCGCCGAGCACGTGGTAAATCAGCGCTTAAAATTGCAATTTACAAGTTCATTGGTGCCGGCGAGGATCAAATCCGGGTTACTCGCGTTCTGCTATATTTATAGCGAGCGTTAACCATCTGAGGTACCACGGCTTTTATGACTGTGACATGCATAAACATATAGAACCGGAAAAATAAACTTAGCCAGTTGGGTAATAAATTTAAAGCATTAGCTCAAAGAATAGAATACCAGATTATCTTTAAGCTTATGTAGAGTTGAAGGTTAAACTTCTTCATCTTAAACTTCAAACACCAATCGCAATATCAGATATCTTCCACCTTTGACGCCTGCGTCAATGGCGTAGGACACCAGAAACTGCGATCTGCTGCTGCCTGACAAGCGTGACTATTCCTCGCTGTAACGGGATAGGCCCATGTTCAATAGTTAACTTTAAAGGGTTGATAAAGTTGTAGAAGAATTAAAGATAAAACTATACCTTGTTAGCCTTAACCTTAATAACCAAACAACCTTACCTTTTACATATCCAATGCTTAAAGGCGTCATCACTGCACCAGTGCAAGTTATTCCAAAAACAGTGCACCAGTTTTCCAATCTTGACTCAGAACATATCCCCACAACATCTCCCCTTTTTACGCCGATTTGAACTAAAGAAACGGCGATATTCATGGATATTTGAACCAGTTCGTTATATGTAAGTCTCTCATCAGTGGCACCATTAATCTGTTAACAATTATTTATTTATTTATTACTAAGTCTAATACCTTTAAACGAGTAATTCTTGTATATATATGATCGGAATCTCGGAAACGGCTCCAACGATTTTCATAAGATTTAGTGTCCAGGGGGTTTCGGGGACAATAAATCGATCTAGCTAGAAATTATTTTTAGAAAATGTCGTTTTATCCGTGTTTGAGGCACTACCATAATTTATAGATAAAGTCGTTTAAAATGTTTTAATGTAATATTTTAACAATTAAATGCATTAATAAACATAAAGTTAAAATACATTAATTTCGAACACTAAGTATTATTACTAAAGAAAATACTTAATATTTTCCTTAAAATTAATTATATTTACTAAAAATATACTTAATAAATTCAAAAGGTATTAAATAATAAGAAGACAAGTCTATTATATAACAATTATAAAGTGTATAATTATCATTTATAACTTTTATGTTATATATGGATAATATATTTCAAGTTATAAAACGTGTTCATGTAATGCTTAAATCTTATTATGTTAATATCTCAAAACTACTGCACCAATTTTGAAAATAATAACTTTCCGGTTAATGATTTGACGTATAAAACTCCATACAAAATTTGAACCAAACACAAGGGATTTCATTTATCCCATACACTTTAAAAGAGCTGTCGCAGACGCTTGCGTTCGCAGTCTAGGTAGTTCTAATACGCTGTAACACAGTGGTAGACACAGATGTTCGATGCCGCCAACGTCTGAATAGACCATTAATTCAGCATAAAACCAAATAATAATCCGCACCTACGTTGGACCCTGGTGGACCCTTGTATCTACCACTGAGCTTCACATTTTTTTCATCCACAATTATGAAATCTATCATGCCTCTATCATCACCTCTTTCCCAAGTATACATGTGAATATTTTTAGGACGATAAAAAGTGTTCGACAAATTTCGATTCGAAAAGTGTTTACACAAAGATTATTTTCCACACACACGGTGAAGAGGCTTTCACTATTCTCATTTATATCTCCATCACCAAACGTTCCCAATATCCTTTCATAATCAATCCTCTTCACCCCAACTCTTCCATTAAAATCTCCTAGCATAACAATAATTTTATTTCCCTTACACTTCATCACCAACCTTAACATCTCCCAAAACTGTTCTCGATTATAAGTGGACTTAGACATGTCTGGGGCGTAGACCCCTAGCACAAACAATTTCTTTAAGCCCACTTTCATTCGTATCCATAGCAGTCTCGGGCTTACACATTTATACTCTTTCACGGATTGACCCATTCTTTTTGAAAGGATGATACCTACTCCCTGGCATGCCCACTCAGTTTCGTGTACACAAGACCAGTATGCGGTATACATACCATGTGTAGTGACATTATTTCCTTGCTGTTTCTTCTCATTTACACATAACATATTTATTCTTCTATCATACATCATATCGCAAAGTTCAACGTTTTTTGTAAATACTTATTGAAATAGGTTTGTTTAGTGTTTGGTATATTTAATTGTAGGATAAAATAGTTGAAAAAGTTTTAATGTAATTTAAAATTTATTTGTTATGTATATTACCTTTTTAATTAATTGTAATGGCAAAAAATCGTTCCTACTATAACAGTTGCGTTGATAGATGTTAAATGATCAACAAAAGGTTTTAGATATATCATTTTTTAAGTTACAGAAGGATTTTAGTAGGAAGTTATGAAAGGTGAATTTATTTCATTTTTAGGTACTTATAGCAAAAAAGAATTAAGTAATAATGTATCTACAGAAGTAATACTTATGTACGTACTTTATTACAAAACTTAGTTGAAATTTACTTCACTATCTAAGTGCATACACATACTTGTCTTTTGTAACTAAAATATTTTAAATTATAATACCTCAAAATACTGAAATTAAAACTTTGTTTACTTTCAAGATTTTTAACCAAGTAGAATACGAGCACATCTCTGTTAGGAATCGTATTTGAGGTATATTTGTTGTTTCTTCCGAACCAACATCGCGATTCCCGACGAATGGCCTTGCAAGTTGCATGCGTTGGGCATCGCAGAATACACCAACACACACACACACACACACACACACACACACACAAAGGTGCTAAAATATGGTCACTCGATCAAAATCAGAATAGTACTTCATCTAAGTAACTTAATTAACATTTTGCAATGTATTTTTTTACTCTTTATTGACATCCCTTAGTAACAACAGAAAGTCCGCCGTCACTTAGGAAGGAGAAAAATTGCAAAGTATTATCGACACCCGCGCGCAACGATAAAGTTTTATTTAGCTTGCCTGCGCGATTTATCTCATTAATAACAATTATGTAGTTTATTAAACGTCAGCAAGCGTCAGAAAGCAGTCAACATCAAAAAAGTGCAACTTCTGTAAGTAGTACTATTATTTATTTTGTGTCTCAGTGAAGTGCGATAACAGAAGGTCGGCCCGCCCCCTGCCCCGAAGTACCCCACCGTTGCTCTGAATAAGTACATTCGTTTCCCAACTGTAATGTATTGATGTGTGACTTTTGATAGACTGTAGGTGATGGTAAACTAGATTCCTGTAAATCATTGTTGCTTTATCTTCACAACCATTTCCAATGGAAGAATTTTCCGTAATCCTATTGCTAATAATAATAGATTGCTCCTTGTCTGCATATTTTACATCTGATCCTGATCTCTCTGCCACGTTGTTTTAAGTTTTTATCTTCTATAAGTAATAAAGCCTTACCACAAAAAACAACACAAAAAACTTACAACATTTTATGTATTATGACAGCATTAAGCTAATGGCATACTCGATTGTTAGCTAACAATGTTGCAATTAATGGCAGTAGGTAGTAATAAAAATTTCTTTATCCAGAAGTTTCACACCTTGAGTCCTTAACACTTCTTTGTGATATTTGTTAGTATATTATATTGCATGAAAATGTATTTACTTCAAATTTTATAGCAACATAAAATAGTTTAAGCAAGTACTAATTGAAAACATATTTTGTGTTATTTATTGAAAACTTTCTGCTGCCACGCTGTATGTATACATATAGATAGATTTATGATCTAGTTGTGCTTATAAACTAACAATAAATCCACTTACACTTATACTCGTACAACATAGTAAAAGGAAGTGATGGCGAGACAACTGACAACTAATTATTTTAAATTTACCAAAAATCTATTCATATATAAAAAAAAAAATATATATATATATATATATATATACAGGGAATAGAGTGAATGGGGCACTACACTATTGTGAAGAACCAGAATGTATCAAAAAAGGCACGTATGGTAATTCATAATGCTGTGTTAGTCCCTACTTTAATGTATGGTAGTAAAAGCTGGGTGTGGCAGAAGAAGCACGAAAGTAGAATAAATGCTGTAGAAATGCGGTCTTTAAGGAGTATGCTAGGGTTGAATCTGATTGCATGATAAGAGATAAATGTGGTATGCAAGATGATGTTGTGACCAGGATTAAGAAAGGAATGCTTTGGTGGTTTGGTCATGTAAAAAGAATGAATGAGGAAAGAGTGACAAAACAAATTTATATGGCAGATGTGAACGGCAGAGTCGGGAAGGGACGCCCTAGAAAAAAGTTTATCGACCAAATTGGCGATATTTTGAAAATGGGCCACGTTAAAAGTACCCTTAACCGACGAGCATGTATGCGTAGATATATGGATGTAAAGGAGGCGAAAGAGGTATGTCAGGATCGTGTCAAATGGAAGTCCGTGGTCTCTGCCTACCCCTCTGGGTGACAGGCGTGAGTGTTTATGCTTTATGCTATGCTATATATATAAAATTAAAATTTCTTTCTGTGGTATTAAAATAACTGACTTCTATTAAGCTAAAAAACAATAGGACTGTCTGTCTGTCTCTCTGTATGACCGGGCTTATCATCGGAATGACTAAACCGATAGTGATGAAACTTTACAAATAGAGAGCGATGCCAAAAGGGATTTGGGCATCTATCTACCAATGTAATCATATGCAGGCAAAGCCGGGGCGGGTTGCTAGTAATATCATAAATCCTCTATCGCAGTCACGTATAAAATACTAAGTATAATGCTTCAAGCATTATACTTCAGAGAAAATGCATACATTTCACCGCATATTATGACAAACAAAATGAATGCCTAATAATTTTGTAAAGAAAGGTTATCATTCACATATCCCTCTCAAACTCAGAAATTTATACGCTGAATAGCTACTTAGCCTTTTAAGCGAAAAAAAACCCTCGACAAATCGCGGATACAGTTCTTTTTTTACAGGAGAGGAAGCAAACGAACATACGGCTCACCTGATGTTAAGTGATTACCAACGCCGATGAACAACTGCAACACCAGGGGAATTGCAGATGCGTTACCGGTCTTTTAAAGGGTAGGCTCTTTTGTTGAAGGTCCTTAAGACGTATCGGTCCGGAAAAATCTCTGACGGTAGTGGATTCCACAAGAAAGATGTGCGAGAAAGAAAACTTCCTTTAAATCTTACAGATGGTATGGATGGTATTGCGAGTTTTGTTGCCATGTGCGATGATGAAATTGTGCAGCTGGAATTATTCCGAACAATTCCTCAGAACACTCCCGTGGTAAATGCGACAAAATATGCAAAGAGATGCAACATCTCGTCGCAGTGCCTCTGAGTCAAGCTGATCGCAAACAGCTCGGTCGGCGACGATTTAAAAGGCTCTGCCCTGGGTGCGATCAAATGGAAGAAGCTTGCACTGAGGAGCCCCCGCCCACAGATGGGAACCGTATTCCATGTGCGGTCGAACCTGCTCCTAGTAAAGTTGCAGGCAGTGTGTCAGCATGAAATACTGTCCCGCTTTGCTGAGCACGCCAAGCCTTTTAGAGGCCAATCTGGCCTTCTCTTTCAAGTGACCACGAAACTGTGTGACACTCAATATGTCGACGCTAAGGATTTCGATACTGGCTGAGGCAACAAGGGGAGTGCCTGAAAATCACCACACGTGGACCATACGGATCGATAGCCTCTAC